TTTGAACCTTTTCAATAGTTGTGTTTGAGTCCCTCAGTTGTCCTCAGTGTGAAAATATGCATCTCAAAATCATACAGTCACTGCTGGAAAGGGTTCAAATATGCAGAAGATGCTGGAAAACTGAAGAATCTGCAGGAGCTGAGGGGGTTTTTCTGAAGAACAGCAGCAGTTTAACTGTTCAGAACAAACAAGGGACTCATGAACAACTATCACTTAACAATAAAACAGTCGTGGATCATCCACAGTATTAAGAACCAAGGGTTCACAAACTTTAGAATGGGGTTATTTTAATAATTAATCTTTTATGTGAAATCTCTTACTCAGGACGGTACTAAATAAATAAAAAAAAAAACATGCATTTTGTATGATCCTCTCTTATTTTCTTAAAATTATTCACATTTTCACAGATTCTGCAAGGGGTTCACAAACTTTCGCACGCCACTGTAAAGATGTCCATCTCATGTGGATTTGCTGTTATTGGCCGTTCGGACGCGGAAACGCCGTTTGAACAGAAATACCTCTGTAGTGACGTTTTAGTAGTTTAACGATCAAACGATTCTGGGCAATGTATCAAGAATATGCCCAAAACACGTGTTACTAATTTTAGTGTATACTTATTATTGGACACTATGCATTCTAATAAATATTCATGTATATATAATTATTGCACAGCTGTCTCTGGGTAGTGGACATGTAGTCTATTTTACAGTATTTTGCAAATTCTATGATTATTTTTGTGAGACTACATGGAATATTTGTACTTTTTATAACTTAATTTGTCACTCCGCAGAACAATTGAAGTTGAACCGTAAGTTCAAGCACACGGAGTATAAGTTTTGTTCAAAAAATATTGATCAATGTTATTTGTGAAAGTGCTTTTGTGAACATGAAGCTCTAAATGTCATGTTGTGTTGCTTTAATTTGAATGAACTCATATTAGTTGATTTGGTTTGTTATCAGACCCAGATTCTGTTTATTTTGGGTATTTCACAGAGAATTGTTCAAATGAATTATAGGTAACACTTTACAGTAACAGGAACTAACAAAGCTTCTAAAGCATTTAATAATCTTAGCTAATATTAACAGAAACAACTTTTGAATCTAATAATGTATTAGTAGATGTTACAATGATCATTACTTAGCTAAATCAACAGTAAAAACGAACATCAACAAAAGTATCAGTCATTGTTTGTTTTAAAATCAAGTACGTAATTGATTAACCTGGAATAACATTTCACAAACCGAATTATAAATGATATAAACATCCCCTGAAGTTTTCACACTGCAAAAGATTTTAATAAAATGCCTTTATTGACAATAAAAAAATCGCACTGCATTATTATCATTATTATGTAGTCTAGTGGTGTTCGGTATCTAACACATAATTCAGTCTGAGCAGCGCTGATGACGTCAAACCAAACGCAATAGACTTTAATGTGCGAGTTAATGAGCCTCTGCACATCCGTGTGCGTAAATAAACACGTTAAACACCTCTGGAACACACACCAGACGACTTGAGCTGTATTATTTAAAACAGTGCTTCTAGAATATATTCAGATCTGCTACATATGTGGAACATTAGTAGATAAACGAACACTGATCACGGCGACGTCTGTCTACACTCTTAAAAATAAAGGTTCTTTATTGGGCCCAAGTGTTCCATTAAGAACTTAAACATCCATTGAACCACTACAGGTTCTTTATCTTGGACAAAGGTTTGAAACACTCTTAGAATTAAAGGTTTTTATTGGCATCGATGGTCCCAAGAAGAACTTTTAACATCCATGGAACCTTTCCTTTGGACAAGAGGTTCATTACAGCAGAAAAGGGTTGTATAGATTATTAAAATGTTGTCCACACTAAGAAAAAAAAACTAAAACTGTTGGTTCTTTGGGGAACCAGAAATGGTTCTTCAATGGCATTCAATGCAAAAACCTTGTTTTGGAACTTTTAATTTTAAAGAGTGTATTTCCTCTTCCGGTAATGAAATAGTAGATAAACCAATACTGATCTTTTCCTTTGTTCACGGCAAATGTCTGTCTACACTCTTAAAAT